ATCTCGTTTCTTAGAAAAATCGCGTCGTCAATTACTATTGTTTGGGTCAAATTTTAGGATGTCCGAGCTCACTTCACTGTCACCATTTAAGATATCTGCACCACTTCACTTGAATGTTCTTCTTCATCTTCATCAGGTATGATATCTGAATTGGATTCCTGTTGATTATTTGGAGAATCAACCATCTTTGTTTTACCCTTGTTGTCTCTAACCCTCGTCTTCTTCCTTTCGTCCGATATTTCTTTTTGTGTTTGATTTTGAGTTCGGACACAAAATACTCGTCTTTGTTGGAATTAACTTCAGTCGTCTTGGGAGTTGGTTTTTTTTAACCTCTTGGAGCTTCAATTTTCTGAAATTGAAGTTTCTTTTAAACGACCTTACGCTTGGGTGCTTGAAATTGAGATGATGAATGAAATCGGGAGTGAGATATTCTTACTTCCACTTCACTGTTGACCGATTTGGCCTCATTTTCCTTCGCTTGACCATTGAAGATTTTGGGACTAAGAAGAGGCTTATGTGTGGTTAGGGAAAATATTCTCTTTTTTTGTGTCTTGTGATGAAGATACACAAGAGCTGATGATATGGAAAGAGAAAAGCAAATTCTTTTTCTTGATTTACGGTTGCATATAAAAGGATTGGGATGACCACAATTCCCGAGAATCATGCACAAAATTAACCCCATTAATCTATATAAATATAAAAAGGTTTGACATTTACCTAAAAAAGAAACTGAAATCCCGCCAAAAAAAAATCAAATTTACTAAATTAAGTAAGACATTTTAGAAATCCCGCTCAAACATATTTTTGAAAGTTTTCACCCAAAAATTAAAATCTGATATTTAAAGAAAGCACACTTATTTTGGTATATGTCATACTAACGAAATCTCTCCTAAAATTATTGAGTGCAACGTAAATGGACATTCAAAATTAAATCCCAACAAATTCTCCCCATCTCTTCCAAAATAATTCTCCCAATCTCTTCCAAAATTAAATAGCCCGAATGAAATCCAAACAAATTCTCCCCATCTCTCCTAAATTGATTCTCACATCTCTCCCAAAATTACTGAGTGAAAAACTTAGATGAATCGATCAAATAAAATCCAAATCAATTCTCCAATTAGGTCCCACAAGAGAAGATGGGCACGATGGAGTTCCATCGGGTCTCCTCCATGATCGATGAACGCCGACAACAACATCAGCTGGTAGGAGCCCAGCGATTCCGCAGAGAATCACGGGATCTGCGTGCCGGAGGCGAAACTACGGCCGATGGTCGAGAAAATTGACCTGATGCCCAGTTGGACGCCCAAGAGTTCGCTGCCCTGTATGCGGTGGTGATGGCAGACGACAGAGGCGACGAATGGAATGATCTACCTTGTAGGGATAAGTAAGTATAAAATTTAGAGTTATTGGTTCTCAAGTGAGTCCTGTACACCATCTTATGGAAATTTGTTTCTTGCAGGGAAATGATTGAGATAACCTCATTTATTAAAGGAGCCATATGTGATGAGCAGTGCCTGGAAGATGCCTATACATTCATGGTGTTCCTGGACTGGCAAGGTAAATTTATTGTGCTTAAGAAGTTTTTAAAATTGGCTATCTCAATAGTCGATTTTTTTTTTATTTTTATTTTTTAATTGGGTCCATATAACTTGCATTTTTGTCTTTCCCAACTGTAGACAATGAGTGCGCTTGCTGTGATGAGACATTTGAAGTCCGAAATTGATGCGGGAAGCATAAGGCCTTACTGCTTTGTGGAGATTAATGGTCTCAACTGGCCTCACCAGAGAATATATATAGTGTAGGGATGCATGACTATTCATCTAAGATGTAGTTTTATGCTTATGGATAACTTATTGTGGAAACTATTTACAGGTAATCTATGAAGGATTACCTGGACATAAAATTGGGTGGAAAAAGGCACTCAATTTGCTAAAGATAAGTTGAAGTCGTGACAGCGACACTACTTAGACGGAGACGTCGGAGGAGTACTGGAGTATGATCATCATGGTCGACTGGAGGGTCAACTTTGACGACTTCCGGTAGACGATGAAGTGTCGTGAGTTCGTCAGGCTAAATTTATTGTTTTGTTTTTAATATTTTTTTTGTTTTTTTTTTAGTTTTGATGTGAAAATTGCAATTGTCAATTGGTTTGTGTAATTAATGAATTTTAATTCTTGCCTCCATTTTTAATTGGGTTGAGAAATAACTTATGTTGTTATCTGCAAATTGGGGCTGAAGGGATTTCTGGAGAGGAGTAAGGGAAGGGGTTTCGTTATAAAGTCGTTGGCCCCACAAAGAGTGGTGCCGGAACACGCGGCGGTGGCCCACAGCAGCCGGAGCTCCATCCTAGAGGCTGTGACTCGAGGGATGCCGATGATTGGGGGGCCGATCCACGCAGAGCAGAGGGTGAACAAGGTGTTCATGGTGGAGGAGATGGGGTGGAGCTGTTGCTGGATGACGGGGACAACGGGTTCGTGGCGGCAGCGGAGCAAGAGAAGTTGAATCTTAACTAAAAATTTGTTCTTTCTCTTCATACGCCCCAATTTTACTGTGCTTCGTTTGTTTTAGTGGTTCTTGTGGATATGGTGAAAAAATAACGGTCGATATTGTTCGTGCAGGATGTAAATAAGGTTGAGTTTAGGTAAAATTGCCTGAAGAGTTTTATTGTTCGTTTGTTATTATTGGTCGTGTTTGATATTTAGTGAATCTTCTTTTTTATAAAGATTGAGAGATTTATT